ACTTTTCCTTCCTGCTTTGCAGTTTTAAAAAAAACAAAACTCAAAGCAGCTTTGCCACGTAAACAACAGCAATAACTTTCAGGAAAATCAATAAAAGGGAGTAAAACTAAGTGGTACCATCAATGAGCCAAAAACGAAGCAGGGAAACGTTAAAATATGTCACGAATGCAGGGGAACAAGTTGAAATTGTAGCTTAATGGCAGAATGTGTGCTTTGCACACAGTGTGTTTAGTCGTTTAGTCGTGTCCGAGGAACAAGTTGAAACTGTAGCTTAATGGCACAATGTGTGCTTTGCATACAGACTGTCCCTGTTTTAGTGCCCGGCTTCCCCTTTTGAAAAGATCTTTTGTCACCTGAGATCAGCCACAATACATTGTGATCCTGTGTCGTTGTGCTAAAAAGACAGATTCTTATCACCCACCCACCCCCCATAAAACCTGATCTGTGGGCTGGGAAGCTGGCCATGATAATGCTTTTTAGAGCTCTTGCCCCTTCTCCTCTTGCATACAGACTGTCCCTGTTTTAGTGCCCGGCTTCCCCTTTTGAAAAGATCTTTTGTCACCTGAGATCAGCCACAATACATTGTGATCCTGTGTCGTTGTGCTAAAAAGACAGATTCTTATCACCCACCCACCCCCCATAAAACCTGATCTGTGGGCTGGGAAGCTCTCTTGCCCCTTCTCCTCTTGCATACAGACTGTCCCTGTTTTAGTGCCCGGCTTCCCCTTTTGAAAAGATCTTTTGTCACCTGAGATCAGCCACAATACATTGTGATCCTGTGTCGTTGTGCTAAAAAGACAGATTCTTATCACCCACCCACCCCCCATAAAACCTGATCTGTGGGCTGGGAAGCTGGCCATGATAATGCTTTTTAGAGTCCTCAGTGCGCTAGACCAATGGGTAATATTAATAATCACGTGCCATCACATAAATTCTGACTTAGGCTAACCCGTTTCAGAGACTCTTAGCTAAAAGGCCAAGGAAACAAGAAGTCGGCTTCAGGGTTGTTTACAAGGAGAAAGTTGAGTAGCTTAGAGCCGGTCACACTCGGAGAACGTTGGAGCAGTTCCGCGTGGCCAAGGAAATAGGAAGACCACAGGTCCTGATGGAAGATGCCCTCCAGGCTGCACGCAGCTTAGGTTAACCCGTTTCAGGGACTCTTAGCTAAAAGGCCAAGGAAACAAGAAGTCGGCTTCAGGGTTGTTTACAAGGAGAAAGTTGAGTAGCTTAGAGCCGGTCACACTCGGAGAACGTTGGAGCAGTTCCGCGTGGCCAAGGAAATAGGAAGACCACAGGTCCTGATGGAAGATGCCCTCCAGGCTGCACGCAGTACAGTGGTGCCCCGCATGACGATGATAATCCATTCCATAGAAATCGCTGTCTTGTGAAAACATTGTCTTGCGAAAACTGTTTCCCCATTGGAATGCATTGAAACCCGTTCCAATGGGGGAAATAGTTGTCATTTTTGCGAAAATCGCCCATACGGAAGCCATTTTGCGAAGCGCCGATCAGCTGTTAAAATGGCTGTCCTGCGAAGCATCGGTCCCGAAAACACCTGTTTTGCGAAGCGCCGATCAGTGCCAAAATCGACGTCTTGCGAGAAACGGTTTGCGAGGCACGGACCCAAACATCGCCCAGCGAAAATCGCGCATTGGAAACACTGTTTTGCGAATCGCTGTAGCGATTGCAACACCTCATTGTCATGCGGATTCGTCGTTTTTCAAGGTCATCGTCTAGCAGGGCACCACTGTACTCAAAGATCATCGATTAGCCCAGTCCCCTGATATTGGAGGAAATCCACAGGTCTGTCAGATGGCTAACCCACCTCGGTTTAACAGCCTCCAAGGGGTTTTTAAAGGAGTGGCCATGGAGGTATTCCGTTTATATGCATTTCTAAATGGCCCTGTGCCTATTTCTTGAGACAGAGCATGACGGAGGTCTGCTTTAAGAAACACTTCTTTACTATGGTAATGCCTTTTTTTCCCTCTCCCCTCAACAGAGCTCTGGGATGATGTAGAGGACACCAGTGAAGTTGGCGATCAAGAGGATGAAGATGATTTTATGATGGAAGGGAAAGGGAAAGGAAGAAATGGAAAATATGCCACAACCCAAGAGTCAAAGTTGTTCCACCGCAGGGCTAAAGATCTTGCTTGACCACCGAGAGTTGTCAGCTACTTGTAAACTTTTGCAGACTGTGTGATGACGCAAAAGCCGTTATTTTAGTAGTTCCATCTGTGCAACATTAAAAAAAAAAGAATACTGTCCTACCTGTACAGGGCTGTTGTACAGACTATGATGAGAACAGGTGTGATATAGTTTGAAAAAAGTAAAAAACCCTGTTTGTTGGCCAGGATTCATGCAATGGGAAGTCATGGGTCATGATAACCATGATTTGTGGCTGTAGCCATGAATTGTCCTGCAGATGATGACACAAAACCATACATTTGCTTTCCCCTTTCTGGCCTGTTGTATAAGCTGCAGAACTGTTTTTCACAGTTCTGCGTTTGGGCATCATCAGAAAAAAAAAAAGGCAGAATTTGTAAGCAAACAACAGACATGCACTCTGTCAACAGCGGCTGACTACCAACCCATAGTTAGTTTGCCAAGATGGATTTAGATGCAACAACATGCCAGGATTCAAGAAGGCCCCATCTGGTTAAAGCTCGGCAAATACAGTGGTGCCCCGCTTAACGATTACCTCGTTAGACAAGGAAATCGCTTAACGATGAAGTTTTTGCTGTCGCTTTTGCAATCACAAAATTATGTTTTAATAGGGAAAAATCGCTTCACGATGATTGGTTCCCTGCTTCGGGAATTGATTCTTCACTTAACGACGACCAAAACAACTGATTATTGGGCTTTCAAAATGGCCGCCGACTGTGTAAAATGGCTCCCTGCTGTGTTTTAGGAGATTCCTTGCTTTACAGGCACCGAAAATGGCTGCTCTATGAAGGATCTTCGCTGGATGCTGAGGTATTTCGCCCATTGGAATGCATTGAACCGGCTTTCAATGCATTTCAATGGGATTTTTACTTTCGCTTGACAACAATTTCGTTTTACAGCAATTTTGTTGGAACGGATTATCCTCGTCAAGCGAGGCACCACTGTATATGGTTTGGAACAACAGCTCTCCAAATCCCTCACCATAAAACCTTTCGTGGGGAAGAAAAAACTTTGCCATATTCCAATCCTGGCTTGCTGTTACGTGCAAATCCAGTTTAGTGTTTTGTGATGTGTTTTTTTAAAGGTTTGTTTCGTTACTGTGCATGATGGGTGTCTCATTTAAGAGCAAACCAACGATTGCAACATTAATAATAAATATTTATCTGTTTGAAAACGTCAGCATTCACATGTCTGAGGGACACAAACCGAGGGGGGGGCATAATTACAGTGCAATTATGTTGCCCAGCCAAATTAGAGCAATTTGGCTTTGTTTAGGCTTGAGCCTAAACTGCATTCAGTTTAGGTAATCACAAAAGGACCCCCCCCACACACACACACACCAGTTGTTTCAGTTCCACACTCAATGTGATGTGGTTGGATCCTGCCCACTGCCCCCCCCTTCTTGGGATACCACCCTCCGGCTGATGCCCAGCTTCTCCTTTTATAGTGTGACATCACACTGCTGGGGCTGTTTATCAGGTTGCCCAGTAAACAGTTTTGCAAAGTTGTCCATAAATATACAAATATACACCCCTACCATGGAAACATTTTAAGACTGCTGGAGTTGGTTGGATTTGTTTTGATTTTAAAATACTGTATTTTTTTTGGGGGGGGGGTCTGGGTGGAGGTAATCTAGGGCTAAATCAATGTAGCAATGACAAGGGGGGGCTTAGCCCTAGATTCAATCGTTTGTATAAAACATAAAAAAAGAGAGAATACTTCAGAGCAACTAGAGAGAAAGATTACAGAGGCCGCAGTCATAAGCACAATATGAAAGAAATATAGGCTGAATCAGGATTGTGTTAAGTTGCATAATGAACCTTACACATGGGTGTGTGAAGAATTGCTTCCAGTCTTGTGGCCCCCCCCTTCCAATGCGCCCGAGCCCCCACTGGAAGGGCTTCTTTTAGCGCGTCAATCCATCTCGTTATTTGGCCTTCCTCTTTTCCTGCTGCCTTGTTTTTCCAAGCAAATCTATCACTTTTTGCCATTGGGGGGTCCTTTTCTATCCCCGCCAGTGTAATTTAATTGGGTCAAAAAAAAAAGGGGGTCAAATCCAAGGGATATTTTGCATAATCTCAGTCTAACTCTTGGGTGACGGGACGACAATTCGCTAAATTACGTGTTCTTTTTGGTTCCATGAGATCACGCAACGTGGAATTTTAAAACCCCCATTGAGATTTGGGGCCTCGAAATGAGACTGATGAGACAGAGTTATTATTTATTTTATTATTATCCTGATGATGTTTGAAGGGAGTAAAAAAAAAAACACATATCTCTGCTGCCCTTTCCCTTTGAGAAACCAGGCAGGCAGAGACAGAAGCAGGAAGCAAACACAGAAGGAGTGGATTCTGCTAAGAACTCCCATCACCCCCTCCCTTCAGAGGGCTGAGGGGGAGGGATTATGGGAGTTGTAGTCCAAATTTATGGTAAGGGGCAAACATTTCTCAGGCGTGGATTAAAAAAAAAGTAACTCAGGTACTTGAGTCTAGGGCTCATTGCAGAAAGAAGCCCTTATTAATTCATTCATTTATACCCCGCCTTTCTCCTTAAAAGGATCCAACCCTTAAAGACTTCCATGCGTGCAATAAAGATGTGAACTACTGTATTTTATTTTTAATTTTTATTTTTTTTTAATGACACTTGTCTTATGTTTTACTGCGGGACGTGGACACAAATTTGTCCTACTCAGTCCCTGCTGTGTGAAAAAAAATAAATAAATCTATTTCTTCGCTTCGTCTTGCTTTCCCGGCCTAAGCTGGGAGTCACGGTTGCTATGGGAAACGGGCGCCATTTTGGGACACTGGGCTTTCCCCCTCCCGGGTCGCCGCCTTCCCAGCATGCCGCGCGCGGGGGCGCTTGACCTCCGGGACCCAAGATGGCGGCGCCCATGAAGAGGGAGAAGGAGCTTTGAGTCGCTGGGAGGTAAGCCTTCAGCTAAGCATCTTTTTGTGGGCGGGCGGGTGGTAGAAACGACACGACGGGCGCTCAGCTCTCTGCTGCAGCAGCTCTGGGGTCCCTTCGACACGAACGCAGGGCTTCCTTCCCGCCCTTGGAACCACATGGGTTTTTTTTTTAAATAAATATTTTATTAGTTTTTCAATCTATCTCCATTAGTTTGTGCTTGTCAAACACCGTGTTACAATTATTTGTTTTTTACATCTCAGTGTCTTCCCAGTTATCCCCCAAATTCCAAACATCTTTCAAACATTCAAACCATTCATGTACATCTTTTGATATATAATACGGCTATTATCATAACACTACTTTCATAATATACAATATTCTCAAAGTCTTCTAATAGCATTCTTATTAAAGGTAGTTCCAGATCCATACTCCAGCTTTATATCTAGTTTAGTTTACCTAAAATGAAAAACCACCATATTACCTCTTTATCCTGATTAGGGCTCCCTTATTTCAATTTAATTCTACTTTTTAATATAAAGAATACAGTATACACAAGGGGTTTTTAATAGGTCATCATCATCCCCTTTTTCATCCGATGCTCGGAGGACGATCCAGACTTTTGAGTGATCTGAATGGTGCACCCTGTCTGGAAACGGGATGGTGGCCAGGGAGAAGAAGTGGGAGTTCAGGGAGTCAGCAAAACAGCCAGTAGGCTTATCATGGATCAAACGATTTGCCCATTTAGCCTGTTAATGGGTGGGAGGATGATCATTGAAGCTGCCCGTGGACTCAGACGAGGGGATTGAGGGGCAAAGAGTCAAACCTGAGACACTCTCTTTGCAGGCCATGTGCTGTGTGTGTGAACCGTACATTCCTTGTTCGTTGGCCCAGCTTTTCCCAATAATCAGAATATATCTTTCCTACCTTGTGGGGTTCGGTTTTTCTCTGGAGAGGCTCCCTAGATTGAAAAATGGGGGTGTTTTTGGTGGTTAGTTAGTGGCGGACGGTCTTGAGGGCTGAAACCCTTGGAAGAGTTGCTGGTTCCAACTGACAGCATGGACGGACGGAGGGATGGTCTGAGCGACATTTCTATGTTGTAGCACCTAAGAAGCCGTTCACACAAACCCAGTTCCTTCCTAATCACGGTCTCTTTCTGAACCAGGTCTCCTGAGAACTGTGTTACCATGTCGAAGATCTCCCGTGTGGCCAGAGGGGTGCAAAAGGTCACGCCTGGAAGTTTCATCCGGATGACCATTCCAGCAGGACAGGCTGTTGCAGGCCCGCCTTTGGGACCTGCCCTAGGCCAGGTAGGCATCAGGAGAGGGCTTGAGGGGAAGGGCAGAAATAACCAAAGAGGCTGCTGACAGGTTCTTGAGGACCCTGGTCACAATTTGAAAATTTAACTAGGTTTTTTTTTGGGGGGGGGTTGTAGGTGGAGGAAAAATGTCCTTTTCCTTTTTTCCTTGACCAAGGTAGCTGGGGTCACTAATTTGGGTCTTCTGCTATTGGATGAACTTCCAGATTTGTTTGACAGCTACGGGCTTCCTACTTGAGACTTCCACTCCCCAATTCTTAGCTTTGACACACATTTCAGGTGTTTTTTTCCTCTCTGAAACACCCCCCTTCTCCCCAAGATTTTTCACCCTGGCCACACATACCAGTGAATTCATTCTACGCGACGGGCACACACACAGTTATTGCTAGGTGAGTATGTTTGCTAAAATAAGTTCAGGGCAGATTTCGTGGCATTAGAAATACAGCGCAGCCCACGAAACCTCAGCTCTCCCTTCTAATGTGATGCTCCACAAAAAAGGTTTCTTATCAGTTTGAAACTCAGAGGACTTGAAAATTAATGTTCTGGCTTCCACATAATTTAGAGGATTTCCTAGGTAAACAAAGACCTATGAATTAGGAAGATGGGTTTTTAAAATGTACCCAAAGGACTTCATGATCAGCTTCAAGGACTTATAGAAGGGCTGGGGATATTTTAGCCTCCAGATGTTTTAGAAGAAAATTCCCATCGTCCGCGTTGCTCATGCCAGTGAGACAAATGGGAGTTGCAGGCTGGAGTAGCCGAAGGACCATAGGCTCTCTTTCCCTGATGAATGTTGACATGTTAGTTCAGAAAAGGAGTCCTTGATAAGGTACAGTAAACATCCCAAAAAGGTGGGTGAAATCTGTGATAATGTTTTATGCCATCATAAATACCAAAAAGGGAGTGGGTGAAGTCTGTGATAATGTTTTATGCCATCATAAATATCTCCCTACATTATATAAAGAGGTTTGAGGGGTACAGGAACAGAAAGGGGCATGTATTTCTTTTCCTGCTTTTGAGAATCCTGTACTATTTAACAACAAGGTGTTTGGATTTTAAAGTGGACAGGAGACCCAAGCGTGATTCTCCTTCGCTATGGAGCACAATATAAGAAGTAGCCAGAGTCAGACAAATAATAAATCTCTTATATCCACCCTAGGCTTTGACAGAAAAGGCTATCAGGAATCTTAAACAGAAAAAAACAGTCTTCACACGAGATGGGATACGGTGAAACAGTCTGCATTGGGGCAGGTGATTATACAGAAGGCCAGATTGTTGTAATAGTGTTTTATACCAGGATGGGCAGAATATGGGGCCAGATTTCCTAACTGATCCCTAATTGATTATTTGCAGTAGATGAGGAAGTAATTCTGACTCGGGATTGTTTAGCAGTAAGATGAACTTACAGGGACGTGGTGGCGCTGCGGGCTAAACCGCAGAAGCCTGTGCTGCAGGGTCAGAAGACCAAGCAGTCGCAAGATCGAATCCACGCAACGGAGTGACCTCCCGTCGCTTGTCCCAGCTCCCGCCAACCTAGCGGTTCGAAAGCATGCAAATACAAGTAGATAAATAGGGACCACCTCGGTGGGAAGGTAACAGCGTTCCGTGTCTAAGTCGCACTGGCCATGTGACCACGGAAGATTGTCTTCGGACAAAAACGCTGGCTCTATGGCTTGGAAACGGGGATGAGCCCCGCCCCCTAGAGTCTGACACGACTGGACAAAAATTGTCAAGGGGAACCTTTACCTTTACCTTTAAGATGAACTTAATGGGACTCCCCAGCATTCCTTTCCTTTGTTTGAAGGGAGTGAAGAAAGTCTGGACAGCCAGGCAGGGAAGTTTGTATGGAAGACTTTTGTGTGTGTTCCATTTCTAGTGTTCAAAACAGATTCGTGGGCTCCTGATTTTTGACTTCCCATGTATTTTTGCAGGACAAAATCTAGTGGATCTGATAAAAAGAAACTTAAGTCTTGCTCAGCCCTGTTTTAATATGAACAGAATGTGTTACCAGTATTTGAAATGACAGAATGATCAAGGTCTTGCCCTCTAATTCCAGATATATACGTAATGTTATGTGATAAGGAAAAAAATAAGGCATTCTTGAAATGTTCAGAGGCACTCTCTTCTTTATTGCTTTACACATTTGGGGGCTGATTTTTCCTCCCTCAACTGAGATAGGACCTCTAATCCATTTGTAATCAAGATAGTGTCATCTCAGTCCTTTGCTTAGTCAAGCTTCTTTTCTAAAGGGCAAGCAGCATGTCGTTGGTAGCTTCTATGAAGTAAGCAGGCAGTTTCAGCAATTTTGAAAATAGAGGAATAATAGAATAGAATAATGGACTGCGAAGGCGCTTATAAGGCCATTGAGTCCAACCCCTTGCTCAAGGCAGGACGCCACATCAAAGCAGATCTGAAAGATGATTGTTTTAATTTTCTCTTGAATACCTCCAGCATTACCTCACCACCTCCCGAGGCGATTGATTCCACTGTCGCACCCCTCTGACGATTAGAAAGTTTTTCCTGATAATCAGGGTGGATAAAAATCAATTATTTCTTTTTTAAAAAATCAAATTGATTTAAATCACCTCTGACGATCTGAAAGTTTTTCCTGATAATCGGGGTGGATAAAAATCAATTGTTTCTTTTTTTTTTAAAAAAAATCAAATTGATTTAAATCACAATTTAAATTTAAAACTTGGGTATTTAAATTGTCAAAAAAAAATCAGATTAAAAAAAAATTAAATTGTATTTAAATTGTCCAAAAAATAAATCAGATTTAAAAAAAATTTAAATTGTGATTTAAATCAATTTGATTTAACTCCTGCTTGAGATTCAGTTGAAATCTAGCTTCCTATAACTTTAAAAGATTTTGAGGCATGCATTCTGGGTTGATTGAGAACAGATCCTGCCCCTCCTTCTATGACAACGTTTCAAGGATTTGAAGAGGACTGTTCTATCTCTCCTCAGCCTTTTTTTCCCCCTCAAGATCAAACATGCACAGTTCTTTCCATCTTTCTTGATAGAACTTAGTTTCCAGCCCCCCTGATCCTCCTGGTCACCCTCCTCCAAACTTCTTCCAGTTTGTCGGCTTCCTTCTGAAAGAGCAGTGTCCAGAACTGGGCGTATTACAGTAGTGTGAGAAGGAGTGCCTGGCCGGCCAAACAGAGGGGAACTAAGAAGAAGTTGGAAAAGAACAGAAAGCAATTTACACCTTCTAGGCACACAGCTCTTGCATCTTCTGGGCGTCCTCCGCTGTATGAAGGAGCACGTCTTGCCAAACGAAAAAAATGTTTTGTACCTCTAACATGTCACAGAAGGTGAGTTATCAAGAGCTTTTAATCCGACTGGGAAGAACCGCCCTGGCGTGGGGCTGGAGGAAAGGGAGAAACAGAGATTGTAGGAACTGGGATAGAATCAGCATCTAATTGGGATGATTTTTGGCCTTTTCTCTTCCTTCGCTTACCTCTTTCAAGCTCTGGAAAGCTCGGTCCGAGGACGAGCCTCATAGGATCCGAATATCTGGCCCTTGGTGGGATTCAAGCGACCTATTCAAAATGCCGCCCAAACCCTTGTGTTTGCACAACTGTTGTGTTTGCCTTGCAAGAGGAGTTGCTCGGAGGTGGGCGTCACCGTATGTACCCCCGGGACCCCATAGCCTAAAAAGTGCTGCCGTTTCTGAACCCATGGGGTGCAGATAAACCTCCTGAATATACCGAGAATCGGGAAGAGCAGAATGGAGAACAGATGAATGGGAACAGACTGGAGACAATATGCTAGCCAGGGCCCCTCTGGGATCAGTTAGCAATGGGGCTGCGTTGCTCTCGGGCAGAGATGAAGCGGTGGGGCCTGGGGCCAACCAGTTCCCCTCCGTGCTGTGGGGCAGAACATCTGTTGGCTTGCTGAGACTCATCCGGGCGACGGTGCCCACGCTAACCTCAGGGGTGACTGACTTCTGCTCTCACGCCTCACGATGTGCCTGCTGCCATTTCCACTCTCTGAGCACAGAGGCAGGGCAGGTGGGGCTTTTGTCCAGGTGTCATCAAGGTGCCTCGCGGGCCAGGACAGATTTCAGCTGGATGTGACGGCCCGCGGGGAGCCTCCCGGAAGCGGAGGGGCGGGACCCTGGCAAGGCGGTCGGCGAGGGTTGGGTGGCGTGGCCGTAGTGGTGAAAGCCTTGGGCGACGTGGGGGTGATTGTGGAACTGGGCATGGCGGTGGGCCTGTCTGTCTGTGCACAGGGGGTGTCTGTGGGGGACGGCGGCGGTGGCGGCTGGGGCAGGACCCCCAGATGGCATTCCTGTGAAATGTCTGCAGAACGGGCCCGTCGTGGTCTGAAGACATCTCAGAAGTGGTTCCGGAGAAGCAGCGTGGATGGGGCAGGCTTCTCCCACGGTTCCCGTGTGTCTCCGGAGCGGCTGCCCCACCGCTGGGCTCGGTGTCAGGGACTGGGCCCCCAGAGGGCACCCTTGGCTGGCTTCCTCCCTGGCGTGGGCGCTGTGGTGGTGCTGAAGGGCGGCGCAACACTTGAGCGCGATGGCCAGGACGTTCTTGCCCATGAAGATGGAAGAGATGCGCTGGTCGTGGCAGAGAAGCAGAAGCCCTCCGCGGATGAAGAGGGTGGCCATGTTGACGCTGGCGAGGCTCAGCAGCGGGTAGAGGCTGCCGGGGCGCGGGCCCCGCACCCCCAGCTCGTTCAGCGACACGCAAGGCAGGACCAGCAGGAGGCCGTAGCAGTAGAAGAACGTCAGGCCCTCGGCCCACAGGGGGAGGACCCGCCGCTGCGGCTCCCACAGGCTGGCTTGGATTTCCAGCACGTCGAGCAGGTCCAGAACCACCCAGAAGAGGCGGCCCCGCAGTTCGTCCTTCTTGCGGAAGCTGGCCGCCGCCTGGGCCACCAGCTCGGTGGCTCCTAGCACCATGTAGAGGGCCGGGACGCAGACGGAGAGCAGGAGGGTCAGGGTGCGCCGGGCCAGAGGGTCCGGGGCCCGCCCTTCGGTGGCGTAATGCTGGTAGATGAAGTAGAGCTTGATCTCCAGAGCGAAGGCGAACAGGAACCACAGCACCATGGCGTAACCCCTCTGGGCCAGCCGGGCCTCGCCGCCCACCCAGGTCGTGGCGTAGCGCAGCACCAGCAGGAAGAAGAGGTCTCCGGCGAGCGCCAGGGCGCCCACGCCCAGCCGGTGGGCTCCGGCGTTCTGCTCCACCAGGTAGACGTCCATCGCTCCCATGGTGCAGACGATGACCACAGCAGCCACGCAGGTGTGTGGGATGTTGGGCGGCAGCAGCTCCATGGTTCCTACGCTGGGGAAAGAAAAGAAATCCAATTTACTGCAGTCACCCATTTTAATTCTACTCAGAAGGCTAGATGATCATTGCCTGTTTTAATTAGGCTTGCAGGACCAGAGAGCAGATCCCATAGCAGGGGATGTGGCAGCCTTTGACCCTTTTTTTCACATTTTGGAGTACAGCTTCCATCATCCTCTCCTGTCGACCCCGTGATCTGGGGCTTCTGGGAATTGGAAGCGGGCGCCTCTTAAGCGTCAAAAGTTTCCCCACCCAATATTGGGTGTGGGGTGTGCTCCTGGTGGGCTCAACCCTACCTGTGAATAAGGGCTCTCTGTCTGCCACGTCGTGGTGGGAGTTGGAGTCTGGCCTGCCCCAACATAACGTTGACGGAGAACGTGGTCCGCAGAATTGAGCGAACGTGAGCAGCCTAGACCTCTCTCGATCGCAGAATTGTCAATCTGGACGAGATCCTAAGGGGCGTCGAATCGAAAACACCCTCCCCCCCGGACAAAGCAGGAACCCCCACAGCATCTCTGATGGATGGAGCACAGCTCCCACCCATCTGGCTGACGGTCCGGAAAGGTGAAAATTGTCGTGAAAGGGTATTTTGTGGAGAAATGTCGGATTGGGTGCAAAACTGCCCGTTCCGCATCAAGTCCGCCTACACTTTCTTCAAATCGGGACGATCGCTCCTTTTAATCGAGAACCTGAAGTCCCGGATGGGTTGCTTGTGTCTTTCTGGATGCTCACCCAGTCCTTCTGTGCTTTGCGGGGTGTGTGCTGCGCGGCCGCCTTGCTGTGTCGAGGGGAAAGACTATAGAAACATTTAAAGACCTTTACAGAGAAGGGGGTTCCTAACCATGAGCTGTGCTGGGTAGACCAGATGGAATTTGCCATCCCGGGAACATCTGGAGAACCACTGCGAGTTGCCCCCCATGGGTTATAGCAGTGCCAGTAAGGTAAGTGAGAGTCTTTAATGACTGTGCTTGGCAAGCTGCTGGAGCCAGAGGTTGGGGGTTTTGATTCCCCCATGGTGTGTCCTTCACAGGGGCTGGACCCAGTGATCCATAGGCTTCCTTCCAGCTCTGAGATTATGTATCCCCTGTATATTTGGTAGCTGTGTCAAAGTGATACCCAGTGCAGTGTAGTGGTTAGAATGATGGATGAGGACTCAGTAAGCCTGGGTTCAAATTCCCTGCACAGGGATTCACACACACACACTGTCTGTGTGTGTGTGTGTGTGTGTGTGTTGCCGATTTAAAACCTATCGTATATGCCACATACCTTGGAAACCATACAGTGGTGCCTCGCTTAACGATTGCCCTACATTATGATGAAATCGCTGTACGACGATCTTTTTGCGATCGCAAAATGATGGCCTAAATAGGGTTTTTTTGCTTTGCGATGATCGGTTCCCTGCTTCGGGAACCGATTCTTCGCAAAACGATGGTTTTTTAACAGCTGATTGGTGGTTTCAAAATGGCTGCGTTGTCCTTAAAATGGCTCCCCGCTGTGTTTAGGGGCAGATTCCTCGCTATACAGGCAGCGAAAATGGCTGCCGTATGGAGGATCTTTGCTGGACGGTGAGTTTTTATCTCATTGGAAGACATTGAACGGGTTTCAGTGCGTTTCAGTGGGGTTTTTAATTTCGTTTTACAATGTTTTCGCTTAACGGCAATTTTCCTGGAATGGATTATTGTCGTTAAGCGAGGCACCACCATAAGTCAGTTTCAACTGGATGGCACAGAACACGCCACCCTCCATCTGCTAACCACACTGAAGCTTGCTTCGCTTCTGGAAATCGGGCGTATTTCGGATAGGAAGGTAGTTCCGCTGGTTCTCACACCTGGCTAATAGTATCGGGTGTCGAAACTCCTGTACTTCTCCCCCCCCCATCCAAAAGAGCTCTGCCAAATTTGGCATGGAGGTTCGGATTACGATAGTTCATTCCTCCCTGTAAGCTGCCCTCCCCAGTAAAAACAAAACAGAGCTTTTTCTTCTTCTTGTTAAATTTTGTTTTTTTTAAACATCCATCCATCCTCTGCAGTGTGTTCAGCTCAGCTCGAAGAATCTAGACTCGGGCAGTTTATGGATTATCATTGCCTGTTTTAATTATACTCCTCCAGGCCAGGAGGAGGGTCAGAAGCCAGTTTGGATCTTGGGGGGGTCAGACGGGCTGGCGAGAAAGGGGCCTACAGGACATTTCTCGCTGGAGAGAGCCTGACTCCTCCTTTGAGGCTTCAGACAGGTCGGCGGGAGAGGAAGGCTACTCTGTGCATGCCCAGAGACACCCTCTGTCTCCCCCCTTTGTGGGTGCACCTTTACCCTCAGCAGCCTCCTGTTGCAGATAAAACAAGGATGATGGGAAGGCAAGTTGCATGGAGCCCCCCCCTTTAGAAAAGGCTGGGTGGCCTAGCAGGAGAGTGTGTGGGGGGGTAGGCCCGCTATTCCCACGATTGCCTGCCTGGCCTCGAGCGGATGGGAGTTGCAGCCGGACCTTTGGAGAGCCACAGGTTGCTGACCCATGATGGATCACGGAAAAAATGGCCGAGGGAAGGGGGGGCACTCGTGCGAAGTGCCTGCCTACGTGTGCGCGTGGGTCGCCTGTGAGTCTGGGGGGTGCTGGCGGAAGGGGGCCCGGTCGATGTGAAGAGAGAGAGAGAGAGAGTATCATGGTTCCCTAGGCGTAGCAGGATCTGACACAGTGTCTGGAAAAAGGGGGAGTGCTCGTAAAGCAGAGGATGACGATGCTGATGCTGTCTATTGAACTCTCTTCCTTTGGTGGGGGGGGCGGCTTTCAAGATTTTGCATTTGGGGGAGGGGAGGAGAGGGGGACCCCCCCATGATTTGCCTTCCATTCCCCTCCTTCCCCCCTCCCCATCTCTCTGCTGGAGGAAGAAGGCAGACCGCTGCCTGCTTCGGATCCCACCCCCCTTCCCTCTTACAGTCCCCGTGGGGGGGTTGGGGGGCTGGGATGGAGCGACCGAGGGATGCGGCGCATCGGTGTGTGTGTGGGGGGATGCTTTTGGTACCTGCTGGGATCATCGGAGGGGGGGTTGGTTGCAGCGATGGTGGTGATGGTGGTGCCCGCGTTGGGTGCATCTGCCTCTTCCCGGCTTGGAGCGCGCAAGTGTCGGATCTGGAGCCAGAGGAGTGGGGTGGGGGGTGGAGGAGAAGGAAGGAAGGGCGCCCGGCCTTGTTCGCACTAGGAGGAGGAGGGATCCGTGCGTGTGTGTCACTGCCCTCTCACCCTCTTCATTTTCCGTCCCAGTGGGCAAGACCTGACCCTTTGAACCCTGTCGATGCAGACAGACCAGACCAGAGGCATCATCCTTGGTTTATTACCCCTGCAAGCCAGCTTCTTCCTTGCCCCGGGTGAAAAAAGAAAGGGGGGGCAGCCGAGGCCGGCCTCCTCCTTCCACCTGGAGTGGAAAGAGTGCCTCTGAGCATACACCGGCATACCTCTCGGGCATCGGAACATGGCAAGCCTCAGCCCGGTCCATGATGAGCACCTGGTGGTTTTGGACGACAGCTGTGCCCTGGGGATTCTGGGAAACGTAGTCCGAAAACTCACACCTGTGCACGGCTGCTGGCAGACACCCCCTGTGTAGGCGATCCCTCCCCTCAAGTTCTGTGATGGGCAGAATGGGGGGGGCGAAGGGTGCCCAATTTCTGTTCCTCTATTATATTTATATTTTGCATTTCTTCTCGTGAGCGCGTGGGTTTTTCTCCCTGCTCTCTCTCACAGATACTTGATCCCCGCAGCATCCACCGTGCGACCGGCCCGGCCCAGAGAGAGGGAAGGATGCTAAAATAAAAATAAAAAGCAAGAAAAGAGGGGGGGGAAACATGCGCCGGCACCTTTTAAATCTTTTTTATTTTGCTTTTTTTTTGCTTTCCTCCGTTACGCTTGCACAGACTAACACCGCACAGACTAAGTGTCCCCCCCTTGAATGTGCAGCCCGCCCAGTGCTCTAACCACTGTGAGATGCTCCCTTGCAGCTTCTGGGTCGGCTTCTCCTTCTTCGCATCCCTCTTTTCTAGGCGGAGGCTGTCAGGCACACATCCACCCCACTTGACCGGAACAATGGGGAGTGGATGATAAAATGGCACAGAAGGGTCTCCTTTCCCCCCCAACCCTTTTGTGATGGAAAAGAGCACTCCTTTTCAGAAAAGGCCCAGCCAAGATGTTGGCCCGATGAACTTTTAAACACTGATTTGAAAGCTCTTGCTGACTTCCTTTCCCAGCCGGTTTTGAAATCTGCAGGGAGAGCAGTTCAAAATCTCTTTTTTTTTCCAGCAGTGCTTCTCCCTAACATTTTAAATATAATGTTATTTATTCTTTCAAAACGTTGGAAAGGTTTGCTCTTTTTCCCGAATATTATATCCTGCAAGCCTAATTAAAATGCGGGATAAAAATCAATTTAAATAAATAATACAATATAATGGGCCATGTTGGGGGGGGGAGAGGAGGGGCAGAGTTGTGGCCCAGTCAGGCAAATACAAAAAAGTGGGGAGGGCAGAATCATTTGTGTAATTAACCTTAGGAGCTGTATTCTGGGATCACATGCTTGCGCAAACAAACCAGAGAGTCTAACAATATAATTTAGATCTAAAATGGAAAAAAATGCTGTTGGTAAAATACTGAGAGTGAGATGCTTCTCGCTGCTTTATTCTAAATTACCTTGTGATTTTAATCAGGAGATCGCCCTCCTAGTTCTATGAATATACTTTGAAAGCCCTTTTGCTAGGAGTTGAAAGTCCAGAACACAAACACACACAGAGGCTCTTTTGTTGGGAGGAGAAAGTTGCCCTGCTTGGAATCCTCCCTTGTTAGGGCAGGAAACAAAAGAAGCAGATTGCCATAGAGAAATAGGAATACAGTGGTGCCTCGTGTAACGATTGCCTCGTTAAACGACAAAACCGCTATACGATGACTGTTTTGCAATCGCTTTTGCGATCGAAAAATGATGTCTTCATAGGCAAAATTTGCTTCCCGACAATCGGTTCCCTGCTTCGGGAACCGATTTTTCGCTAGATGATGTTTTTAAAACAGCTGATCGGCAGCTTCAAAATGGCTGCTTGCTGTGTAAAATGGCTCCCCGCTGTGTTTTTGGACGGATTCCTCGCTTTACAGGCACCGAAAATGGCTGCCCCTATGGAGGATCTTAGCTGGACTGTGAGTTTTCAGCCCATTGGAACGCATCGAACAGGGAGGGATTGGTTCCAAGCCCCCTGTGGATGCTGAAAACCGTGGATAATAGCAAACACTATACAAAGCATGGTGGGGGAAAAATCCAGAAAAAATATTTTTGCGATGTATTACCAGAACTGGCCACTAGAGGGGTATAGTATCTGTGTGCCTCTAGTGGCCAGTTATGGTAATTACATCATGAAAACATGTACAGTACATTATTTCAATTTTTTTTCCTTTTAATATTTTCAGAACATGGGTAAGTGAAAGCACGGATACCAATCCCATGGATACGGGGTTCCCGTTGTATCTATTTTGGTGGACACTTTAGTAGGCTGTAATGCCATCTCATCCCATTAAAAAAGTATTTTCCAGAATTTCAGATGTATATTTGCTACACATGCTTAGGACTGGAGGGGGACTGTAAACAGCGATATCAGAAGGATATTAAACAGGAAGAGTAGCAACGATTTGCTTGATGACTGGCTACCTAAACAACAAAGATTCTTGGAAGATCAGATTGTGTGGATTAGAGTACTCGGCAGACGTGAGATCTGGTCCAGCCTTCCTTCCGCAGCTTGGTGCCTCCAGATGTTCTGAATAGCAGCTTCTGTAATTCAGGCTGGGGTGGATGAGACGTGTACTCCAAAACACTTTTGAGTTGGGGGGGAGGAAGTGTTAAAGTGTATGCCGTAATCCGTTTGTTGGTCCCTATCTATCTATCTATCTATCTATCTATCTATCTACCTACCTACCTACCTACCTACCTACCTACCTACCTACCTACCTACCTACCTACCTACCTACCTACCTACCTACCTACCTACCTACCTACCTACCTACCTACCTACCTTATCTC